GCAACAGTTTGAACAAGGAATACTTCTTTTGTTCTGGTTCCAGATTTTCTGGCGGTAAATAAATAATACGCACTTTGTTTCAGTTGAATAAAGTTGTTCTTGTTGGGCAGGGCTTTGAGGAGAGATCCTTGTGGGATTTATTCAATTCAAAAGGTTGCTTGGCTTTGCGATCACATCCTCATAATACCATTACCACCCATCAAATTAGTCATATAAACTGAAGCCTAAACAAGTTACTTCCCTTCCCCCATATAAAAGTCTATTGGAATAGGAAGCAAGAGATTTCAGGCGTTTTGGAATTTGTTTGTGAGCCTTTATTTTTCTCACCAAAGACTGCGGATCCAATTCAATGTAACGACTTTCATAATGTTGTTCAATCTTCTTGTTGATGCTGACCATCATGAATGGATCCAACCCAATAAGAAAGTTGTGTGTCATGTTAGCACCAACCGAGTACAGCATTCCATTGTATAAGCAAAGCGAAAATGCCTGGAAGCAATTAATTGGAAACCTCTTATTGATGTCTTTTTCCGTCAGGGGTGTAGACTGTGCAACACCAATGCCCTGAGTGTATCTGTACGTTGAAACCGCTAGTTTCTGCAGTGAGTGAACCTCCAAGTGATCCAATTGAAAGTTGGATCAGGCTTGAACGAGAGCAACGGGCCCGACCCCTGATGGGTGAAAATCGAGCTGCTTCTCTGGGTTTTGAGTTGTTGGATTGCATAGACGTGCCACTATTGGGATTGAAAGCGACCCAATAGAAATGTGCGTATTTGCATGATTATGTGTTGGATGTGCGCTAATCTCGACTTCTAATCAAACTATTGTACTCCAAGGGGATATTGGCTTGGATTAGTTCTTTTCTATGCCTCAATTAAGAGGACTTCAATATTCTTTCACTTGTGCGTTGACGGTACAATAGGCACATGACGTACCTAATCAAACAAAAAAACCATATTTTGGTAAGAGAATCCCTTGATCGGGCACAAAAAACCCTTACGGTAGGCTCGTTTATGCTAATATCAGGTCTGATAGTATTAATCATACCTTAATTATCCTTTATTGGGCGGTGTATATTTTGATCGGGCAGTATGTATTTTGATTGGGCAAGAAGAAAACCCTTGATCAGGCAAGATGTATTTTGATAGGGCAAGACGAAACCCCTAATTAGGCTAAGTATTGTTTATCGGGCAAGAAGAAAACCCTTGATAGGGATGCCCCTGTCGGATAAACCTTGTATGCCCTTAATAGGATCTAAAATAAATATTGAAATAAACTACTCTCTAAATGCAAATAACCGAATACTTGGAAATGAAAACCTCTTAATTCAATTATAATACAATAGTAAATAAATGAAAACGCAAGATCATTTATCTTAATATAATACAATTACACTAAAAAAGGAATGAAAGCTGTAGATGTCTTCATCCAATTTGAATATTTTAGTTGTTTGGGAAATATTTAGCCGTTATACTAGTGAACCATACCAAGTATTTGGCAGAGCAATAAAGGAGATGATCACAGGAGTTGTCAACTTGATGATCTTTGAGAGTGAGATTGGTTTAAACTGAGAATTCAATTTAAGATCAAATGTTGATCAGGTTGAAGTCTGTAGTGTTTAAAGACATTGCGTTTGATTTAGAGAGAGAGAGAGAGTCATCAAGTGCTGTTGCTGAGCTTCCTATTTATACTATTTATAGGCCGAAAATTTGAACCCGATGATGATGAACAGATAATGGAATTCTGGGTTCAAACAACATCATTACGAATTCTGTCTTTTTGTTAATCAATCTCGAGTGGATAAGGAAAAGCAATGGTAGCGGGTAGAGCATCACCGAAAGCTCCTGTTTGAGCTTTGTTTAAGATTTGGATCGAGCCCGACTGCCTTGCTTTTGCTCTGAGTGCTGATAAAAATAGTTTATCTTGGTCTCCTCTCTAATCAGCATGTGCCAACTGTGAAAAGACCATTACCCTTTGACCCCTTGACAGGTCAAAGTCAGATATGGATATGAATATGAATAATGAGCTTGAGAATTAAACCAAATTATGGCCCAATTATGAAATGAAGAAGCCCTATATTGTAAAAACATACAGGCTGGGGTCTGGGCATCTTTGAGGAAATAAATTAAATCTTATTGGGCATCAGGATCATCCGTCGGCAGCTCATACTTGCAAACTGGCCATGGCATGTATTTCGAATGCCCAACCAGGGCACAATGCAGTCCTGATGGCACAATGCAGTCCTGATGGTAGTAATGGCAACAGGGTAAGCTCCCTTATCCTCCGACGCAATGCTGTCTTTACAAACAGCACAGACCACTTCTTCATTCTTCAACTTCTCCTTTGTGAACTTAACAAAGGGAAGATCCTCGACAACACTTGAAGCCGCCGGAGGGCTACCTTTCATGGCATTCGCATTCTCCATGAATTGCCCGAAAATCATGTTGATGTACTCTGCAGTCTCTAAGTCAACATCTCCAGAAATTATTGACTGTCAATAGAATTTCCCACTCCAGGCTTCTTGTTTAATTAATGTTTTAATAAGATTTGGCATCTCTGGTGCAATGCATGTATGCGTTTGCTTAATTCTGGATGGTGCATTTTTAAGTAGGACTGACTCACACACCTAATAAATTTTTATAATTACTGCCATTCTTAGTGATGACTATGAGTTTCAAATATATATTTATATATATATATCCCATTACCTTCTAATTACTTGGTAAAATTCCCATTACTTTCCGATGTTTAAATAAAAGACTTGCTTGTAAAAAAAAGACTTGCATGTAAAAAATTGAGCATTCTGTCACTCCAAGTAATTTATTTGCATTAAATATTATTGGTTTCAAATACAAATACAGTTTTTGGGTACTTCAAAAATGTTGTCCATTATCTCCCATTTGGATCATTAATCTCAGAAAAGATCGTCTCAGATATACATTGGATGGATTCATTTGTAGCGCAACCTGGCTTAGCACTTCTAATTTCGGCAGCGGCACTGTCATTGACGAAGGCAACCTCATTGTTCCTTTCAATGCAGTTGCGGTGGAGATGCAATGCAAGCTCAAGCACCCTCACAACATCATTCATTGACGGCCGTTCGATCCCACTATCATTCATGCAACTCATTGCAATTTCAACAAACTGATTCAGACACTGAATTTCAATCTTACCCCTTATGCTTGGATCAATAATTTGATCAAGTTCCCCATCGAGATGACAGCTCCTGACCCACTCAGCCAAGTTCATTTGCTTCAACTCCACCGTATGCATCACAGCCGGCCTTGCACACAGTACCTCACACAATACTACACCGAACGAATACACGTCCGACTTCTCAGTTAGCCGTTGACGTCGGTAGTATTCCGGGTCCAAATATCCGAAACTACCTTTCACCATTGTACTAATGTGAGTCTTGGATGTGTTGGTAGTGCCCATTTTTGACAATCCGAAGTCCGATATTTTGGCCACCCATTTCTCATCCAATAAAATGTTTGTGCTCTTCACGTCACGGTGGATGATGGTCCCCTTGGCCCCGGTATGAAGGTAGCTCAACCCTCGTGCCGCACCAATACAAATTTGAAGCCGCTGCTCCCAAGAAAGAGGCGGGTTCTCATTGTGGTAGAGATGGTCGGCGAGGGTCCCATGTGCCATGTAATCGTACACCAAGATCATCTCATTGTCGTC